GCAATGTTGCGGAGGTCAGAAGAGGGCTTTGGATTCTCCCGAAACTGGAGATAAGGATGGTTCGTAGCCGCCACGTGGGTGCTGGGAATCGAACCTGGGTCCTCTGCAAGAACAGTTAGTGCTCTTAACTGCTGAGCCATCTCTCCAGCCACCAATCTATTAATTTTTGAGACAGGGTCTCCTCATAGCCCTAGCTGGCCTGGAACCCTGTAGACCAGATTGACCTTGATCTCACAGAGATCTGCCTTCCTCTGCCTCCTGAGTGCTGGGGTTAAAGGTGTACCCCACCATGCCCCACTATTTTATTTTTGTGTGTATATGTGTTGGCTCTTTCATGCCACAGCATGTGTGTGGAGGAGTTAGTTTTCTCCTTCCCCCATGTGACTCCCAGGGATCGAACTCATGTCATTAGGCTTGGCAGCAAGCACCTGTAGCCATCTCATTGCCCCTTCAAACAGTTTTAAATATTTTATAGGTGTTCATATAACTCAGTCCTTACCAAAAAATCCTATTGTTTTCCTGTTTCACAGATGAGGCAGCACTGTCAGAGAGGTTAGGTAATTTCTTGAGGTCTTGTAACTGGAGTGGTAAGGTTGAGAATCAAAGGCAGGTGGGGTTTCCCCAGAGCCAGGTCCTCATCATCCCACATCAGGACAGGTTCTCCATCTTGGTGACAGCATGGTTAGTTAGGGATGTTTATTGTGATGTCTTAAATCATACAAGTAAAAGTCCTGGGCATTACATTTTATTTTGTATTTTTTTAACAAGATTACACAGGAGTGTTGTTCTACAAGGCTGGTCATAACAAAAATCAGTGGGTATCCTTCCCCCTCCCCCCTGCCCCATTTCCTGCTCTGTCACTTACTTCGCTGACTTTGCAGGTCCTCACACACTTAGGTTCTAAATGATGAAGCGCCTACATTTCTGTGGGCCATTTTGTTTTTTTACTTTCAAGTGTTATCTCTTGACACTTTGTCGTGGAAGAGAACTGTATAGCTCCTTTCTCAAGGCCCCTCTCACACAAGCCCGACTTCTGTCCCTTCCCTCTCCATGGAGAATCACATTCAAATTATTTGTCTTGATTCTGGTTTTGTCTTGAGACAGGGTTTCTCACTGTCTAGCCTGAGATGGCTGGAACTTGTTCTGTGGCCCAGACTGGCCTGGCCATCCTCCTAGTATGACAGACTTGAGCTGTCATGCCTAGCTTTAGATTATGACTGTTTTATTAAGGAAAAGTGAGAAAGAACTTTTGAGAGTGTGAGGAGCTTCAAGGGATGAAAACACTACACTATGATTTTAATTAGGCCAATATGTCCAGCTCCTGGATTGGACAGTTTCCAGAGGAGACCACTTTGAGCCCCTGCCTGTGGAGTGGCCTGTGTCTTGGAGGCCAGTTGTATAGCCGTGTATGTGTAGGTGCATGCATGCGTGTGTGTGTGTGTGTGTGTATTCTCAGTATTTACTAGGTAAGGCCTCACTGCCACCATGAAGCTGAGTCTGAGAATCTTACCTTCTCCAGAGGGTAAGCCTCCAGCACTGACAGAGCTAGATGTGTCTTAGGCTGGTGAGGGTGGGGATGCGGGTCTGAAGACGAAGCGATAGTAGCTAGCAGTGTAACACAGTGGTAGTGTGCTTACCTAGAATCCACAGGGCCCTGGGTTTGATACCCAGCATCACAAATAGTTCAAACCACCACCACCACCACCACCACCAATAAAGGCCAGCCTCCTCTCCTGCCAGCCACCACTCTGCTTGCTGCTTCTGTGAGCTTGGCCATTTTGGATTCTCCATATACGTGAGATAATACCATCCTTGCTTTATGTGTGGCTCATTGCATCAGCATGCCGTCCTCTAGGCCCATCTGTGTTGTTGTGAATGAGTGCTTCTGTCTCAGGGCTGCATAACAGTCCACTAAAGTGTACGCTACCATCTTTACTGAGTCATCTTTGCCATTGTGAACCCTGCCACACTGAACATGGGAGTGTAGCTGCCGCTCAGATTTGCATTCCTTTTGATATGTACCCAGAAGTGGGATTGCTGGATCATATGGTGTTTCTAATTTCAGTGTTTTGAGGAACCGCCATACTGCTTTCCATAGTGACTGGACTAATTTACATTCTCATCAGCAATGTACAAAGGTTCCCTTTTCTCCATACCCTTATAGCACATTGTCTTAGTTTGTTTCTTCATTGCTGTGACAAAACACTCTGACCAGTACCAACTTGGGGAGGAAAGGGTTTATTTGTCTTACATCTCCCAGGTCGCACGCAGTTCATCAGGGAGCCCAAGGTAGGAACTCAGGGCAGGAACCTGGAGGCAGGGGCTAGAGCACAGGCCATGGAAGAACGCTGCTTACTGGCTTGCTCCCCTGGTCCCTGCTCAGCCTGCTTTCTTATGCAACACAGGCCCACCTGCCCAGGG